CACCATCTCAGCATAGTGGAGACCACACTGGCAAACAAAGAGGTGATACTGGGTTTCTTTTTGGATATAGAGGGAGCTTTTGACAACACTTCTTTCGATTCAATAACCAGATCTCTCAAGCACAAAGGAGTTGAGGACACCTGCTGTGTGTAAATCAACTCCATGCTAAGAGAAAAAATGGTAGAAACCCCTATCGCAGAGGAGACACTGGCGGACAGGGTGTATAGGGGATGCCCACAGGGCGGGATATTATTCCCACTTTTGTGGAATCTAGTGGCGGACGGCCTGTTTAAGGTGCTCACTGACGGAGGACACCGTGCCCTCTGATATGCTGACGACATAGTCATCATCTCACGGGGCAAATTCAACTCTACAGTTAGGGAGCGAATGCAAAACGCATTAGACCGAACAACAACATTGGTGGATAGAGAAAGGCTAAACATTGGTCCCAACAAATCCACCATCGTGACATTTACCTGAAGGCATAAAATACAAGGAACCTCTTAGATTAAGGAATGAAAATATACAGATTTCGAGCGAGGTCAAGTACTTCGGCACTGGACTCAAAACCTACCTGGAAAACACCACCAAAAAAGCGGTAACATCACTCATGATTGCCAGACGCTTCCATGGAAACTTATGGGGCTTAAGACCGGACATGCTGTATTGGACATATAACATGATGGTCAAACCTGACATACATATCCCTGGTGTGTTGGCCCAAGACATTGCAGATAAGTGAATACGCCAACTTAGCAGAGTGCAAAGAATGTCTGATAGTCAACCGGCACTGAAGGCCTTTTCAAGTCAGACAGTGTCATCAAGGCTAGTATGGAAATGTCAGGAACAACTCAGGGCCTTGGCGGATCAGAATAATGTACAACTTATCTGCTGATGAACTCTCAGAAGAAGGGCCAGAGCAGAGACAAAACTTATCGGATCAGAACTGGCTCAAGGGATACTAAAAAGTATGACCAGAAGCCACATCAAAGACTGGATTCGTAAAGAATATCGGCGACACTGGACAACTTCCAGGCAGAATCATAGGGAATTCATCGACCAATCATGCAGCAAAAGGGCCGCAGAACTGCTACTAATGAGCAGGTACATCTGAACAGGATGAACCTGTACGACGAAGACCCTAATTGCAGACTCTGCAATAAGGAACCCGAGATAGCCAGCCACATCCCTGGTGAACTGCAAGGCACTGGATCTCAGAAGAAACACCACCCAGTAAAAGACCTGTACAACCTCGTACAAGGCCCAAAAATATTGAAAAATTGGAATAAACAACACAGGCTAAGTACAATAAGCCTTCTCAGGCTTCAGTGCTGCATGGGAATAATATCGAACAGACCTGGAACAAGGGACAAAAGGGGTTGGTACCTATGCAAGGAAATTTGATTTTTAGATATTTCAAATGGTCATATTTTGGAAACGAAAAAATCTATCCCCACGAAATTTTGTCTAATCATAGATCTCGATTCGGGCTTCAAAAAAAAAGGAATTTGGGGTACCGAGCCCTAGGGCTTCATTTTTGAGATAATCAGCTTTGAAGGTCTTCCAAAATTTGAATTAAAGTTTTTAGTTTGAGGTTCAATATCTCAAAAACCATTCGATTTTATTTTATCTGAAAGAGCATTTAATTTTGTTTAAAGAATATATAAATATGCATTAGGATTTGTAAAATATTAATTGAGTTATGAACTACCGTTACTTTATGTTGGTATGTTTACTGGGAAGAATGAATTTTAGAAAAAGAACCTCAAGAACAATTTACTAGTAGTTAAAAATCAGTTGAAAAAGCAACTAGAGCTAAATCATTAACTGCTCATCAGAAAATAACTGTACAGCTTCCAGAACTATTAACAGAGCTTCGAAAGAAAGGGTTAAAATGCAAGTGGAAGTCTGAAGAACCATAACGTTAAGGAGCAATAAAAGAGACAGTTAGAAAAGCATCTTGACCTAGTCAAGAGTGGAAGATGAAGAAAAAGGAAAATTTTCAGAACCTCCAAAATAGGTGATATTTGATTGTAAGATATGTCGAATAACAAAGTTGCCCTGGATCCTGTAACATTGAACTAATTACAATCTTTGTGTCTAACCTAAATCCAGCACAAGGTATTTGAACAATAAGCACTCAGATACTCCTCAGATATAAGAGTAGGTATTTTTTGACATCGTCCGATGTATGCAAAAAGAATATTCACGAATTTTCTGATGGTCCTGATGACAAGGACAGTGCTGAAACGTCACCAAGAGTTGACTGCACATTTTAAAAATGATTCAGCAAAAAATAAAGAATTTATGTCGAGATGGAACGTGTGCCGTGTGCTGCTGGAAAATATTCCTATCCAAGATCGAGAGAGGTTTGAGGTTTCACCCATGATGGAGTTTTATATCAGTGAACCCAGTTCTAGGAAGGTACACGTTGGACAAAGATTCTTGAAGAATTTTTTTTGTAATATATACCTATTCTCGATTTTTGGTCTATAACTAGTACTTTATATAAACATTGCATAATATTATATTATATCTCAATTCTCCTAAAACTAAATTGTTCCTTTCGCCTATTAAGAGACTATAAATTTTCTTGTATAAGCGATGAAGCTTGATTTATTACCTTTAATTGACTAATTTACACAAGTAAACCAGGTAAAGATAATAATAATTATGTATAACTTTCGATATACATATTAATAAATTTCTTCGTCACTTTTTATTTTCAAAATTACAATTAGGCGATTCCGAATATATTAATCTTGACACACATTTTTTTTCCTTAATTTCGATCATTAATTGACGATGTTATTTGAAATTTTACTTTCATATTTTCCAAGCTGAATTGATTCGATTGTATTGTAAATTAGGAAGTTATTCATTAATTTTGCTATCAAATTTGACAGTAACAATCAATTTATATGAGGCAAACTGTTGAAGAGATCAAAATTGGAGGAACGTTATATTATATTCTGTAAGCACGTCATGCTCAAAGTGAAAGTACTCTTCATCCCTTTGTGAAAGCATGAGTTCGGGAAGCTTTAGTCAGACTCAACGAGAATGGGTTCATACAGAGTGAACATAGGGCCTGGAATAATACTATCAAACAGGAACCCCTTCTCACCAAAACTTCAGCATCAATTGAATCAATCAAAAGTACTCAATAGTATAGGTCAGGAACATTAATCTAAGTACTTATTATCTTAATACCTACTTAAATAGTTATCGACATAGGAAGTTAATACATAAAATCCGATTAAAAAAAATCTAAATTTCCTGGCAGCCGCACTTTTCCAAGTACAGGAAGTTCTCAAGTTCCTCGTCTTCGAACACGAAAAAAACGAATAAAAAGAAAACCAATAAATTATATCACTTAATTATTAACTAGCGCAAAAAAATCAATTATTATTATAGCCTTTCTAGTTAGCTGGTTGTTGTATAACACTCGCATGGCTTTTAATAAATTGCAACTTTGCTCCAATTGTGCCCCACGGTATTAGGTGTATAATTTATACAAGAATTTTTCTTGTTGCATTTAAAAATTATTATAAATTATATGAGGAAATATGGTAATAAGTTTCAAACTATATTGCTATACCTTGTTTTTAGACAGGCGAGTAAAGACAAGTTTGTAATTAGAATTATTAAATTTAAATATTCTCTCACTGTGTTTTTTGTTGTTTTGTATTGGTATTTTAGTTACATAAAATGCTCCTTAGTAACTAACTGCTTTTTTATAAGATCCTAAACTAAAAAATTCTAGGTCGAAAACAATGGTTTCGAGAAATAAGTAATTCTTTGACCCAGAGGGTGTTAATTAATAGCATTTCTTTTATCTGTTCGAGAAACTCTTTACCGTGCGAAGATTAATTTATTGTTTAGACGCCCGATGCCTAATTTGGATGGTAATTTGTTTTTTGTTTTAGAAGGAAAAGAAGGTTATAATTTATCTTGATTATGAGGCGTATTTAGACAGCTTTAAAACAAAGATTTGGGATGTTTTGAGTAGGTACCTTACAACTTTGTGAGCTGAATAATTATTTATTGAGGATAAAATCTAGAATATATTGACCTTTCATTCACCCAAACAGATGTTAAAATTCCATGGAGTTCTAATTTGAGAAAAAAATTCTTTGGTACCATAACAGATGGCTGATGGTTCGTTTATTTATTGATAGACTGAAAAAGGTTAATAATTTAGTCAATATGTAAACTAATCCGCATTCTTAAAAAAAAAAAAAAGAATACAATTTAAATCCCAATAAAAATGTTCAAAATTTCAGCGAAAAACCTTAATCTTTGAGGGACAAACCTTACTCGAGAAAACCCTGGAAGGACCAGATTACAAATTCAAGAATGCGATGGAATAAGTAGGTAGGTACGTGAAGAAATACTTAAAGAAGTTGGGATTGTTCGTCAGCAAGCTTTTTCAGGAAGTTGGAGTCCGGCAGAAAGCCGGAACTTTGCACCAAGGAATGGATAAAGTGCAAAACAAAATTAAAACCTAGATTTTTTATTTGCTTCACTTCTCCAATATTACATTGCCGTTATTACATTGTAATAATTTACTAATTGGTAACTATTTATTTATAATGTAAATATGCTAGTACATATTTAAAACCTATTGAATATTCGTGTTACCTACCCTACACATGGCAAAGTAACCCTATTATCATTAGTTTTAATTACTCAAGAAAAAAATTACGTGTCTATAATTTTCGTTATAATCAATTACTTTCAATAACCATCGAAATAACATAGGTGTAGTTATCTAAAAACTAGTAGGTAGTTATTACAATATTTGGAACATTTTTCTTCAATTTGGAACATATAAAAATCACTCTTCTTTTTTTTGGACGATTGTCCAATAGGTACTTTCAAAATTTAATGGTTTTTCAAAACTAATTCTTGTACTAACAGTTAGTAGATCAGTTTCAGTTTCATTCAATACATCAATTAAGTAAGACTTCTAATGGTCTCTAGAGAAATTTACGCATTACCTTGTAAGCACCAGTCCTATAATCGCATCCATCAATAAAAAGTTTTCACTAAGTTTATCAAACCACTTTCACACTACTAACATAATTATTATCAGGTGAATAATGGACAACAAATTTGTTTTAAGCTTATTTGTTGATTGTGTCGGAAAAGAGTCGCGGAACCGTTGCACGTGCCGTTCGCGGTTCAAGAAGTGAATACGAACCGCCGAAGAAAATGTACAAGAACCTGCGGTTTCAGCGAGAGCAAAAGGAAGGAAGAGTGGACATTGTAGGAAAATCGTACGGCTAGAGCAAGTGCGGCCGTTAGGCTATTAAAGAGAACCTGTTGCTTAACATGGGAGCTTGAGCAGAAGACCATCTACTGTTTCTCTAAGTTTGTTAAGAAAAACCTTAGATTGTGTCAATGTCAATATTTTATTGTTTTTGTGTGGCACAATCTGAGGTCATTGTCAACAAACGCCGCACTTATGGGATTTTAATGGAAACCATCGATCGTCCGCTGAAATTTATTGAAATAAACTTATTATAAATAATATATATGTCATCAATAATCATATGTCCCAAAAATAGTAAAAAAATCCTCTGTTCCAAGTACCTTTTACAATAATTTAAGAATTTTCCAATTGCAAATACAAATAGCCTTAATAATAATGCTTTATTTTCAAAAAAAAATTAATTCATAATTGGTAGGCAATGCCTCAAGATTAAAATTATGTAATATATTATATTATTTATTATTCATCTACTTGTATACAAAATCGAAACAAAAATAAACAAATTAACTAATGATCCAGTGTGTGTGGAACGCTCAAAACTATGTGTTCAAAGTTATTTACTTCATATAAGGCTCTCTCTAATGTATACGATTTTAGAGCTATGCGGAATTTGGGAAGAGATGCTATGGACTTGATTACTACTGGCAGATGATTGTGCATTTTTTTTTGCGTTGTTTAATTTTGAGTACGGCGCTTTTAATTAACTTGAAGGATAGGGTTGGCAAATAAAGATCATGTTCCGCGTTTCTAATTGGGTAGTTATGGAATGGCCTATCTGAAATACTGGATAGGTTTTTGCGAATTAAGCAGACTGATACAAATATGAATAAGGAAGGGAGTTGATATTTTATATTTTTTGAAAAAATCTTGGCAATGGGCTCTATTCTTCAATTTTAGAGAATATCGAATAGCTTTTCTTTTGTAATTTAAAGATACGCTCAAATTGAGTCGCAGAACGTACCCCAGAATGAAAAGGCGTATCGAAGATGTGATTCTAAATGGGCAGAGTAAACTATTCTAGAAGTTGACAAGTTAAGCTCCTTGGAAACTGATCTTATCGCAAAATAAGCGGAACTTAATTTTTTGGATAAAGAATCGATGTGTTAGCTCCATTTCAGGGAGTTACAACGTAGGTACTTTTTTATGGCAAAACTTTAGTTTTCGCAGCGTTGAAGCAGAGAAGGTTGAGTCGTACAATGAATTATTTACATATGCAAACAAGTCGTTGGACATGGTTCTATGAAGAGTTACAATATCAGCAAAAAGACAGATTTTACTAGAGTAGCAATGTCGTTGATAAACAGCAAAAACAACACGGAACCCTGTGGAACTCAACATTCTATTAGCTTGCATGAAGATATCGTCGTATCAACCCTCACAAGATGTTTTCTGTTGTTAAGATACGACTTGAAACATTCCTGAAGGAAACCTCGAATTCCGTAATATTTCAATTTGTTAATTCGGATATTATGACTTACACAGTCGAATGCTATAGGAAAATCACAAAAAATTGATGCTGTAGAGTGCAGATTGTTCAAGCTGGTTAAAAATCCAAATTGGTGAATAGATAGTGTATGGTATATTTATGAAATGATAGAAGCCTTTCGTAATAATATTGTTATAGGTACTCAATATTGTATCAAGTTCTTTATTAAAATATGAATACAGAATAACTGGAACTCACCTTTATATTTATTATAGGTGTGATGTCTACCTGGAATGTATTCAATTTTCATAAACTTTATAAGTTTTAATTTCAATATTTGTAATCCAGGAGAATGTATTGAAGATATTTGATTATTCAAAAAACACATGAGCCTAATAATCAGTTATTATCTTAATGGGACGACCATAAATAAAATAATGGAATTTTTGCATTATCAATTTTCAAACCATTATGACTAAAAATATGTCGCACATATTTTACTTCTAACATAAATTGAAATTTTTGGTTATTAAACTTTACACCTTTCCCCTAGCTCACACAAATACTTTTTCCAGGGTCTTATCATGCTGTTCCACTGTATCACATTCTATCAACAGATCATCAAAATATGTTATAACATTTTTCAAGATCCCCAAAGTTTTTATAATTAATATTTTGGAAATATTCAGCGGCCAGATTCAAGCCAAATGGTAACCTGCGAAACTTGTAACAACCAAACGGAGTAGCGAATGTTGTCTAATTTCTAGAAGGCTTATCCAGTTCTATTTGATAAAACCCATCCTTGAAATCTAATACAAAAAAATATGCCTTATTTGCTAATTTACAACTAATTTCTTTCAGACTAGGGATTTCAAAAAATTGCCTTCTAATGCACTTATTCAAGTCTTGAGGGTCTGAACACAGCCTTAAGCATTAACAACGATAGCTGGGTTCTGCTATTCAGCGCGGAGTTGGAGTGGAGTGAACAGAGCTAATGGAGTCACCCCTAATACGGTGAAAAGCAATACCCGAACTTTAACCCGAACGGCTGGAGTGCGAATGGAGTCACTCGGAGTGCACGGAGTGAGCAAGCCGAACCCACCTTATAGTGGTGTTATGGACTAGGGGCCAAATTACAGTATATTTGCATCTGCAAATTTGCAGTTCTGCAAATATGGCCGACTTGCATATGTGCTCTATTTGCAGAAACGAGCAAATTACAGAAAAAATCTGCCATTTCGTCATATTTATCGGAAAAAAGTGTTTGGGCGCTACTGATTTACTAGTTTTAAATGTCAAAATTGTCAGAGTGATTGCAAGGACCTGCGGGACCGATTCACCATGCGCAAATTTGCAGGCGACCTGCAAATGGCATTCTGCTTCTGTAATACGAAAAATCAGACTTGCAGGTCCTGCATTTGTATCTTGGTGTTGCAGAGCTAATTCCAGGCAAAGTCATGAATCTTTAACATAACTAGTTTTTGTGATTTGACAAATGTCATAGTTAAACCTGTAAAAGTAAAATGAAGGTAGACAACTACTAATAAACGGAAATTAAAAAAACACTTTCTTATATTTCGCTTTGTAGATAAAACGTTGTACATTACACGTGCGTTTAAGCATGACTACAAAACTCGTGTGATTAGAACGACTCGGTCTACGACCTCATCGTTCTAATCTTTCACACTCGTTATTGTAATCATGTTCATGAACGCAGTTGAAATGTAAATAGACACTTTAAGTTGGACCAAACACGTTAACGTAATCTTTAAACGTAAACCCTATTTTTGACTATTGCGTTGAGTGACCGTCGGTGCTCACAAATCAGTTTAAGTTAAATTTTCAGGTAAACGTTAACGTTATATCTCACAATCATGATCTAACCTCTAAATTTTGTTGCGGAGAGGACAAATTAGAAATTATTTTTTGTATTTTACTATTTTGAATTACATGACACCTTTTTTTAAGGTTGAAATACATTCGGCAAAGGTCGACACCGGAAATCTGGCTTTCGGGCCCACTCGGTTTAACGAACGTTTACGGATAAGGTACACGCAAAGACCCGCTAAATAACGTGACACGTAACACGCTATTTTTGGCGAAAAGAAACTGGCATGCGCAGCTGTCAAATCTTGCGTTAGCGTTAACGTATTTTGTCAAACTTAAAGTGTCTAATAACTATAACGTAACCGTATCTCCGTAAGGTAACGCACTGCAAAATTTGGCCAACTTTCAAATTTTTACGTTGCGTTCTTGCGTTTGGCCAATGAAAATTGAACGATTCTCAACTATCACCAATGATATCAAAAATAATGAAATGAGAATGTTTCAGGGATGCTGGCAAATCTTAGCTAGGAACATTGAGGTCTTCAGTATCAAAAAAGGCAACGTAAATATAGAAATTAATCACTGATTTTTATTAATTTACTACGCATGTGTCAAACGTAATGCAAGAAATGAATAAATTGTAATTTTTAAAATTCTTGCGTTTTGCTGCGTTACGGTTGCGTTACACATACGTTACAGAATGTTTAAGTCCCGCTTAATATATAGCATGTTGACAGGCCAATCATTGGTGTGAGATCAGGGCCCGGATTCCGAGCCCACGATTCGATAGTATCATCTATAGCTAGCATGGTGATGTTTTGGTCAGGGTTAGGGTTGTCCTACCGTAACTGAGCACAGGGAGGACGCACATGTTCAAAGCTTTTCATTTTATTGTAATTGGAACATCATTTTTGAAGACATCTCGAATTCTGCCCTATGCTGCCGATCCTAATGTTATTCTCCTCAGTAATTCTGCTATTAGATTGGCTCTACCAATCCTCACTTCGTGACCCAGATATATGTAGCTTTGCACCATATCTATCTTGTTGTTATCGACCTCTATAAGACTTAATTGGTCATTTTTGTTTTCTCAAAATTGATCTTCAGGCCTACTTTTTGTCAAAGTTTACATTTTGTGTAATGTCTGTCAGTTCTTGCATCATAATATCAGCCTCTCGTAAGCTGTCGGAAATCAGTACAATATCGTCCGCAAATCTAAGGTGGCTAATGACCGTTTCCACCAACTATTTTAGGAAAGCCTTAACGATAAGCATTCCCTAAACTGACATTTCTCCATGGAAAACTGTCAGTTTAGGGAATACTTATCGTTAAGGCTTCCCTAAAATAGTTGGTAGAAACGGCCTTAAGTCTTTCCCCATCAATGTTAATACTTCTTCCATTATGTGGTACCGTAAAATGGGGTGAAACGCAACTAGTGTACCAATCGCAACAGTTTTCAGGAAAATATCGTTTTATTTTTTTTACCAGTCTGTATGCTTCTCAGAAGGTTGAATTATTTTTTTGTATTTGGGACCTTCACCTAATACTTAAAGCATAAAAACAAAATTTTTGAAATAATTAAGTTTGAGGCTATAATATTTAATTAAGGATCAATTTTTAATAAGATTTTGTCCCTGAAAAAACTTTATCTGACAAACCTCCTTAACATTTGAATTTGAGGTAAAGCTCGATAACACATCTCCTTGGTACCTTCCCACTTATAATTTTTACATTTGGGAACACCTCAACTCAAATGCCGGGAATCTATGATTTTTTTAATTTGAATGATCACAAATCGCGGAAAAGTGGGGTCAATCGCAACAACAGGGTACGACCCTGTCACCCCGTCGTAAGGACCCTAAAAATGGCCGAAGATGCATTTTGATATTTATACAAAGGACGCCGCCAAGTGGAATTAACTTTGTATGTTTTTTTATTAATAAGAACATATTTTATTTCATAGAGAAGATTCACCTGTTAATTTGTTCTTTTTAATAAATGTTTACCTTCAAATGTACGAATTTCAGTTATTTTGTAAGTTTTGTAGTGTAAAATGTTTTTTAGAAATATAAAACGTGTTGCCTTTCACCTCTCAGACAGTGTGAAAGCCAAAACACATGAAATCAAGCGAGTTTTGTTATTCACCCCAGATGTAAGGTGAATCGTAACACACCCTATTTTTTTAAAAAAGAGGTTTTGCAAAAAAGGTAGAAAATTTTCAATTTGCAGGGATGAAGCTGAAGCTAAGATAAGAGTTTTGTGCTAAAATCGGTTTATTAAGTCAAACCGTTTTGAATTTATAGAATCGGAAATTTAGAAAAGTGTTGTTATTCACCCCATTTTACGGTATTGTCCCTGCTTCACACAACAGTGAAAAAAGTAGTGGGAATAGGACAGCAAAAAAAAAGACGTTGTTATTTATTCTGCGACATTTCGACCATATATTTTGGTTCTCTTCAGGCTAAAAATATGGTGTACATGAGAAATTGGCATACTAAAATTAAAGGATTCAAAGAGAAAATTAAAAGATTAAAGAAATAATTAAATCATTAGAACATTTAAGTAAAATTAAACTAATCTATCTATAAGTTCATACCAAATAAACATTGAGTCGCCCAACCCAAAATAGCAATTAAACCAAAAACTCGTAAACTGCCAAAACTCAATCAAAATGTCAAGAAATTAATTTGGCAACGTTACATTTTTTAGAGTAGTGCTACCAAAAACTGAATTGTTAGCGGGAAATTCAAAATCCAATTAAGTCAGTCCGACGCCGATTATTTCTATGATTGGCGATAACGATGTTGAAAATGGCGTCATCGCTGTCATAACCAAAACTTTATTTGGTATGAACTATATCTATAACATAAAAACATTGTCAACCTTGTACTCTCAAAGACAAAACACCAATTTTTGACCAGTCTAAGGGCCAAATTATGGACTGACTGGTAAACGTCTGGTTGTTACTTAGCAGGTACTTTCTATGCACTAGAGAATAGAAAGTACCTGCTAGGTAACAACCATACACTTACCAGTTGGTCCATAATTTGGCCCTAATGTGATTTATTCAGTACCTACCGTGTACTTGCGGTAAACAGTATATGGGTCAGAAATAACAAAAATTGAGCAATAGACTCAAACAACACCAATATGACTGCCAAGAGAAATACAGGATGAAAGCCGAAAAAACTGCGTTGGCAAAACACCATTTTCTAACAAATCATACCTTTCATTTTATTGACAAAAACTTTTGACAGGGAGACAGGTTATGTGAAGCCACTGAAGCAATGAACTATAGCTAAAAACTGGAATGCGCACACATTGCCATATCTGCCAAAAAAATGAAGCCAGGAAAGACAGATGCCACAAGGAGGAATGTTGTTTTTTTCTGTTGCTCGCTGACATATGACGTTTTCGAAAGTTTTGTCATATTTCCCTTCACAGGTTTCATCAATTGGAATACGTGTTGGAAGCAATTTTCGCCATTTAACATAATGAGTGCGACAAAAACAGGTATCCCCTCCGCAGCAGCCGCACTAGGCTTCAAGTTCGTCCTTATGTGTTAGCATTCCAGTTTTTGGTTATAGTTCATTGCACTGAAGCGTTGCATAGACCGTGTTCGTTTTTGTCATCTTTTTCGTCGATTTGCTCTGAAATTTTGAGAGGCACGTGACTGGATCAGACAATTTCAATTTACAAATCACGTGCCTGTCAAAATTTCGGAGCAAATCGACGAAAAAGATGACGAAAACGAACACGGCTATTGTGGCATGGCATAAGTGAGATGATATACATACAGATTACCGATAAATATCAATCTAAGAACTGACGAAACCTTAGCAATATTTATAGCAATAGCAACCTATTGAATAGGGCAAAGAGCATATGATAGTATTAACTAACATTAAAATCAGGGATTCTATTTCTTATCGTAATTATTTAAAGATATGCCGTCGTTTTTTTTTTTTGCTTTTTTTTTCATTCCGTTTTTTCTTTTTCAAAGTCTATATCTAACAATAAACCACTTCATTGTGAGAACTGCTCTGCTGCTGGCGAGTTTGGGGATAACTTGCTTGAATTTTTGATTTTAATTTTCAATTTTTGACTGATTTTAACATTTTAATAAGTGATGTCCAGCTCCGTGTTTTATGTGCTCAAATGTATTTGAATTTTTAGCAATGACGTTATTTGGAAGGTGTCTACTCCCTATAATGCCTGAATGATCTTTAATGTCTGTCTGGTGTCTATTTGTATATTCAGAAATATTACTGTAGAAAACCTACTCTACCGACGGAGCTATTATCGTCGTTATAGTAGAAGTTTCTTGATTTTAGAGTTTGTAAGCCTTCTCCGTGTCTTCTAGTTTCGACCACGTTCCATTTTATGTTTTCTAGCTCCTATTTCAATTTCAATCTTTCTTTTGACAGTCCGAAAATAAAAACTATCTGAAGGCAGAGAGATCCACTTCAACTTCAGCGAAACCGATGCAATGGACGTTGTGGAAAAGATTATATAATGTCTGTTTCTGCAGAAATCACAAACCAGTCAGAGCGAACTTCATTGGTTGAAAACAGTCAGAAAACTAGTTTCAACCAATGAAATTCACTCTGACTGGTTTTGTGATTTATGTAGAAACAGACCTATTACTTACGTACTATTCAAAATATGTTCGTTGTTCTTTACGTCAATTTTGAAGTCCACGAGTGCACTATTATTACTATTATGTATATATAATTATCGGTTTATAACGTTCTACGTCTTCCGATTCCCGATCTCCAACCATCTCTGTCAATCCAGGCATCCTCTTCCAAGCCTCTGTCCCTCATTTCCTTGTCCACTCCGCTTCTTCAGCTTCTTCTTGGTCTGCCGCGTCTTCTTCTTCCCCCTGGCCGCGTCTCCTTCTTCCCCCTGGCTTCTACTCAATTATTTGCTTGGGTGTGTGTTTTACGTCCATAATCTCCCTAATTCTCAGATTTGTTATCCTTTCCATTTTTGACCTGCCTGCCGATCTCCTCCAAAATTCCATTTCAGTTGCTTCTAGCATTTTTGCGGTTCTGATCTTTAGTGGCCAGACTTCTGAACTATACGTGACTATGCTTTTGACTATGGTGTTGTATATTCTCGTTTTGTTAGTTTTGTTGATATTTTGATCCCACAGTACACCATTCAGTAGGGACTATTATTACTAACGAATCAAAAATAGATGTTTATTCCAAATTGTCAATTAAACTAATTGCATCCTGAAGTCGTAAATTAGTTTACCTAACTTTTTTATCGCTTTTCATCTATGTAAATAAATCTACTTTTCATTTAGCAATCAATAATACACCATCACAATCACAAGGTGTAAAAAGAAACATATTTTATGTTATTACTCGTTGATTGTTAATTGATAGTTCAACGTCATCTAGGTACCTACAAAAAATTTAAAGGTACCATTAATCGTTCCTCAATGACAAGAAATACAAATAAAAATTTACTGTTAATTGACATTTGCGGCGTAAGTAAGACAACCAACAACCTATTTTTATTCAATTAAAGGGTCGACGTCCAATACCTGACCGATATTCTATAGTTCTAAAATTGACTTTAGTTCCTTATTTGTTTGTTATCAAAATAATGCATTTGTAAGTTGAAAAACCATTATTTTAATTTATAATAAAAAAAAAATCTGTTTTTCTTTCTAGAGTAACGATTTTGTTGTTTGCTAGCATAATTTTTTTGATAATATTAGAAGCGTTTGTGCTTTTGTGGAAACAGAGGAAAAGGTATTTTGCTGCGCAAAAATTCGACGGACCAAAGGCTCTACCAATTATAGGAAATGGCTTGCTGTTTATGTGCCATAATGATGGTGAGTTGTGATTTTTGCTATTGGTTATACCCATCTATTCAATTTTAGAGATTCTTATGCGAATGTATAATGTGATCAAAGATTATCCAGAGGTACCAATGAGGTTTTGGTTGGGACCATTATTGCTAATCATTTTACCCAATCCGATACACGTTGAGGTAAGTGGTTATTTTGCTTTAAAAACGTAGGCTTATTGGATTTTTTTCCAGAAAATTATGCCTTCTAATAAATTTGCTCGTAAATTTGATTTACTGTACAGATTTCCGAAAGTTTTCTTGAACGAAGGGCTGATCACTGGTTCGGGTAAGTGATTTGATTTTTGAAAAGTAATACTTATTTCAATTGACAGCAATATTTTCTTCCGCAATTCTTTCTCCTGGTAATATAAATAAAAGTGCCATGATCAAACTTACAATGACATTTGGTATTTTGAAACCAGAAATTCCACTCAAGACCAACACTTTATTGTCCAACTTATGATGTGTTGAATCATTGAGAAATGATCCGCCCACCTTAATCATTGTTTTCTTCTACTGCAACTTAATCTTTCTTGAATACTTACTTCCAAATGATTGAATGAATAGCTAGATATCTTTTCATATCCTATCACTATTATCGAAATGGATGGAGCTTTTCATTTTTTCTCACATATTCTCTATTTGTAGAGCTCTTTATCTTTATTTCCGAATCCTGAAATTTGATGAAATTTGGTTTTACCAAAGTTGACGTTTTACAGACCATGTCTTTTTTTGAAATAAAAATACTGCCCCATTTTTAATGAAGCACCCTGTATAATTTGTCATCGTCAGAAAGTATTTTTCTAATTTACAAAAAATTATGTATTTTTTAAATTATCTTGCAATTACATTGTATGATTTGTGAGTTCTGGACATCCTATACACGGCCTCTTACGATGAGAACCTGTAACGACAATCCTAGTTCAAACAACCCACATGATTTGAACTGCTGACTATACATTTATATATAAGGTCCTTGCTTTTAAAAGTTTGTATTTTTAAAAAGTAGTTTAGTAAGTAGATATTGGTTTATCCTTTATCCAATATTCTATGTAGTTTATGTTATAGATTTTGCCCATTTTAATAAAGTCACTATGTAGGTACCTATTTTGCTTTTGCTTTTTAATGATTTATGTCTATTCTGAAAACTAAATCGAAAATTATTTCACAACAACAATCATTATTAAGAGGGGTGTTTAAATAAAATGTCATTTACAGACCTTCACAAATTCCTGTTCAATTCCAAATTTAGACCACTTTTCAGTGAAATGAAGTTATGTTCATAACAATAATAGATTGGAGTAGAAGTTGAAGCATTTTTGGTTGCAAAATACGCATTCGAAATAGTAAAATTATTACCATTTTGTTGACAACAATATGCAAATTTTGATCACGGATTTAAATGAAAAAGGGATAAACATATAGAGTAGCACACCAACAATAAATGTCCAAAATTTCGGATAGTAAAATGCTGGAAAAAATGAATAGAACAGAATTTTCGAAAATTATAATTTTTGTATCACAAAATTATTTAAAATCTATCAAACAACGAGGTGATTGCTGTCATTTTCAGCAAAGACTCAAACCAAACGTTTGTTCAGCGCTTCTCTAAAAGATGTCGCTGAGTTCGGGAAGCATAATAACTTCTTTCAAACGCCAGTAAAAACTGTTTAACCTAGCTAATAATGTGAAATACTATTATTTCATTTGTATCTGAATAAAATTATTTAGTCCACTGTAAATTACTCTGTAAACGAATTGATATTGAAGATGTCGCCATCTACTTGTAAATTAGTCAATCACTTACAGAGAATTTGAACACCTGTGATTAAAAAATATTTAATGTATGTCATAAAGCCCAAAAGATGGCGTGCTGGCTCTTATCTGACGCCCCTCTTAATGCTAGATCAGACCCTGTAACTATCAAAATAAATGCACCTTTTAATAAAACATAGTACAAGAATCATCTACACCATTTTCCAGTCCTATATGGATAGTTCTAAAAAAATCGGACGCATCCGGAAAACGTAAGTGGCGTTTAGTAGTTGATTATAGGAATTTGAATTTACGAGCAATAGATGACATCCTTGATAAATTAGGCAAGCCGAGCCAATATTTTTCCACACTAGATTTGGCCAACGGATTCCACCAAATTGGAACCGCTTTTTCAACTGAGAATGATCATTACGAATATAAACGTATGCCTTTTGGTTTGAAAAATGCACCTTCCACTTTCCAACGAGTATTGGACAATATCCTTATTAAAGGTTTTCAAAATGAAGAATGTCTAGTTTATCCTGACGCTATTGTCGTCTTTAGCACATCCCTTCGTGAACACATTAGCAGATTGAGAAACATTTTCTTCGACTACGTCAAGCTAATTTCGACAACTCGGAATTCCTTCGCAAAGAAGTTAGTTATTTGGGACACATTATTACATGTGATGATGTCAAATCAAATCAAGACAAAATTGATGGGAAAAAAAAATTCCCGATACCTAAAACACCCAAAGAAATTAAAAGTTTCCTAGGCCTTGTCGGTTACTACTGAAAATGTATTGAAGATTTTGCACGTATCACTAAACCTTTAACTAAATGCCAGTGGTTCAAAAAGACCCAAGAAGTAATTCATGACTCACTTTTCATATTAAGCCGGATCCAGACTATGAAACAAAACATGTTAAAAAACAAAGTTTTATAACTTGTTAAGCCTCGTACAGATTGAAGTTCCAACGTAGACTAATGCCTACATGTGCTGTCGTTGGGGTTGGAATTGGAAGGCAGTGGAAAGGATTTGAGAACATCGTACACACCAAAGCCAACGCGTTCCAGCATAGTTCACATGTGCCGTTGGCTAGCGTTGGAAATTCGGTCTGTACGCGGCTTTGAGAATTTTAAATAAAGAGGTTTTTAAAACACAGTGTTCTACAACATTTTGATGGTTATATAGAATGTTTTATGTCATCCAACAGAGGTCGGTAACAAAGTTGTACAACAAATTTGGTGTACAACTTTGTTATTAACATGTTTGTTTACATGATCTGTACCCGGCTTTAGCCATCGAAACATGCAAACATTTATTGATTATAGGTAACGCACCAATATTTCGATATCCTGATTTCATTAAGCCATTTTGTCTGCCTCAACGTAAATGCTGATGCTCTATCAAGAATCCAAATCAACAAAATACCCTTGAGTATTTACGAAATCTTGCAAAGAGTTTTTCAACAAATGATATTGCTACCTACTACCGACAAAAACTGAACCAAACCAAACCAGTAATACAGAAACTATTGAAACTCAAATACCAGACTTACCTGATATCATTTTCGAACCAAATACTTCTAAAAAAAACCATGTGAAAATAATGTCAGATATCCAAATTAAACCTCCTGAAAATCCAAGTAACTCTGACTACAAACAGTACATACTACACAAAGCAAAACAACTAATAATGGAATAAAAATTTTGGACGAATTGATTACCAATAAAGTAAATCAGATTTACTAGACTTTCTTGGGGGAAGCTCACCTGGGAAATAAAAATGACACAGTTTGTATGAATATCAATGAACTCTTTTACATTTTATTTTTTTCTGGAAAACTACTGAAGGGTAAATTGTGAAACTTCCAGGAGGAAAAGAGGATGAGAAATTGATAGAAATCAACTTGCAAAATCCAAATTAAGCAAAAATACACCCTCTTTCATTTAAATTTTTTCCTGGAGAACTACTAGAGGGAGAATTATGAAACTTTCATCAGAAAAAGAGGAGCTCATCATATTAAAATTTGAAACTTTACCAGTGAAAAATAACATTATGGGAAATTGATGAAAATCAACCAAATTAGGCAAAAATGCACCCTCTCACATTTTAATTTTTTTTTCTGGAAAACCACTGAAGAGAAAATTTTGAAACTTCCAAGAGGAAGGTTAGGAGCTCATCATACTATGTATTTCAAACTTTTCCAGTAAAAAATAACACAACAGTTAATGGAAATTAATTTGCAAAATCCAAATTGAGCAAAAATGCACCCTCTTGCACTGTGATTTTTTTCTGGAAAACTACTGAAGGGAATTTTGTGAAACTTTCAGGAGAAAAAGGGGAAAGTTAGGAGTTTATTATACTAAAATTTCAAAATGAATAGGTATGTACCTCTCAAAAATTCGTCTAATTTTCACCAGAAGTGATATTGATTAGGCTTCTGAACTTTGTTTGCTTACAGGGGGGCTCACCTAAGAAAAAATACAACGACAGGAAAATTGTTCGTTAAGTTGTAGTTTGATGCTTCAAATTAATTGAAATGTGCTTATAACATAGGAAGAGCATTAAAAAAACATCAAATACTTCAAAGTTATTTATAAAACCTCAACATCAACAGAAGTTCAATTTACTTATAGTGGACCACCCTATACTTAATTTACTTGTTTAAATGAAAAGCTAAGGCATAATCCAGGCAAGTCTGCTCTAATAAGTTATTTTTTTGTTAATGAATGTAAAGAAAATGCTCATATAAACCTAAAGAATATGTCATCACAAAGTTTCAGCTCGTGTTCCAAAGTGTCCAGATTTTTCCAGATAATCAACTTGAGTCCTGGACTATTATTAGGCCTACTAATCAACTATTGACCGAACTCTCATAAATCCTTTAATGACTGGCTTTCCAAGGGTGCACCCAACACCTGCATGAGTGTCTCAAAAAAATTGAATTCTTTCAAATTGCCTTTTAGAAAAATATAACTACAATTGGATAGCTACATATCTCTCTAGCAATCAGCTAAAGAGTGTAATGATATGCACCTTCATTCATTTTGGAAATAGCTAAAAATGTTATTGGACTACCATTAGCAATTACCCAAAGTTTAGGTTAGTGTTAGTTTGGGTTAGTTGTGTTAGATTAGTTTAGTTGTTGCTAGTGGCATTTGAAGGTATGAATTTAAAGTGGCGTAAACAGACATTCAAGGTTGTTCATTCAAAATTGAAGAAATCCAGATATCCCAATTACCAAAAAATAATTATTGGTACTATACTTACTAAAATCCAGTAGCCATTGGTACACTGGGCACACGAGGCGATAATCGGAAAATGGCGGCCGAAAAATCTTAACTTGTATGAGAAAAATCGAGAATTCGGGTCGCGACTGTCGGTACTTTATCTATCCGCAATCGGTACTCGACTAAACCTCTTTGTCTTGGCCGACAAAGAAATCCAAATCTCAAACCCCCAAAAAAAAGGTAAACTGATAAGGTTTATAAATATGAGAAAGTGAAACTAAGTGTGTAGTAAAGT